TTCCCCTCTTCGGGCCCTGAAGTATTTCCTAGTAGCTAGAAGTTGGATTTTATTCTGAATGCAACTAAGAGTCACTGAAGGATGTGGAGCAGATTTGATCTGATTTATATTTTACAAGATCTCTCTGGCTGCTGTATAGACAACAGACCGGAGGGGGCCAAGAGCAGAGGCAGGAAAACCAGATTGTTTTTCAACAATTCAGGTGAAGTCATGGTGATCTGGACTTATCCAGTGCAGAAGGAAAGGACTGAATACGTTCAGGATATATTCTAGAGGTAAATCCAAGAGGACCTGCTAATGGGTAAGATATGGGGACTTAACACAGGGAACAATTCAAATTTCAATTTTACTACATTTTTTTAAGAGGGGGTAGGAAGAAGAGAGGTAAGTAAATTAATTACAAAGTAATCTGAAATGTTCTTTTTATATTAAAATATAGTAAGCCTTTAATAGCTACTGCTTTGTATGACACTGGCCCTCCCCAACTCTTCACAGCTTAAATGTGAAGGTCACAATTTAAATGTCAATTTCTCAGGGAGGAGTTCCCTGACCATCCTATACAATGCATCTTATTCTCTCTCAACCCCTCCTATCTACCTTCCTTCTAGGTAGGATGTAAGTTGCTGCTCAGCAAGGGCCTTGCAAATCTGCATCCCACTGCCTCCCTGCATCTAGCACAGGTCTGACACATGGGAACACATGAGGAGTGAAATGTACAACACAAGCTACAAATACGTCATGGATCAAAGTTTACATTTTACATGAACCTTTAATATAAAACTGGAGAATCCAGTGACGTCATCATTAGTTGTCTTTCTGATCAGAACCCTGCACCCCCTGGTAGCTGTTCTCTCCCCTTCTCTGCGCCTAGCAGTGATCCAGGGACAATGTGGAAGCATCCTAGACTAGGCCACATCACTGATGACATTCTAGGTGTCTTGTGAAAAACACAGTACGTTAGCAAGCGATAAGGTGGTCTGTGACTCTAAACAGAGATGGTGAGAGAGAGTCCACCTGATAAAGCTAACATTGATCTTTCAAAATCTGGGTAAGATTTTATGAGGGAAAAACAAAAATGAATGTCACAAGTTTTATTAATAATACTGTAAGAACTTTTCAAAAGGATTTTTAGACTAATAAAAATTGGTCTTTCATTTCAAAAGGCAAGAATGAATAGGGGTGAGAAAAAGTTAATATGCTTCTGGTTCAATTTTTCAATAGATGGTAAAGAAAAATACTTCCATTTCAAAATGACAACAAATACCGAAACAGCCATACAGAAAACTATTCTGCCCGCAAAAATCTCACTTTAAAGGAAACTTTCTCTCTTTTGTAGCTCAAGAGTTAACTATATTTCTTTGTCCATGTAAAACTGAAATTCTATCTGCCTCCATTTCTTAAGTGTCCCTGCCACACCCAACACTATGTGGCAGAAGGCTGGTCAAGGTTGGTAACAATAGCACTTTTAAACAACAACAAAATACTAAGAAGCTCAGAAGGTCACGAACTTTGAGGGTGAACTTGACAAAAGGAGAACTTGATGAGCTAAGAGCTTTAGTCACTAAAAAACAGGTTAGTGTATTTCACTAGCTAAATCAAGGGACCGGGCAGGCTACTCTTCGTGATATCAAAAACATAGCCACCCAACTATAAAAATCAGTAAAGAGGTTTCAGCTAATTCTTCTAAAACCTGATTCTTCATTTATAATTTTCTTAAACAGTGGGGGCCTTCTGCCAATGCAGGTAGCTTTCAAATGTCAAGTGGTCAGTAATAAAATGAAAAGCTGCAGAGAAAGTTTAAAAGAGACATTTAAAGATGGGCTTTAAAAAAATGGGCCTTAGCAGAGAACCGACTGGAACACACTGCGAAAAGATTACTATAGTTCAGGACATGAATATTAATCGAAAAACCCTGCAGTGTTCATAAACAGTTATGACAATGAAATAATTACAAATAATGCAAGTCAAAATTCTAGATCAGTTACAAGTGCCTGTAATGATATTCTATCCATACAAAGCAAAAATACTTTAAAACCCTAAGGGTTTCCACTGACAAAACTATCTGCCTAAACAAAGAATTCTTTTGCTCACATACCTGCCACCTTCTGATTTTTTTACAAATGAAAATGGGGGAGGAAGTGCCAGAAGGAAGGGCAACAGAGTATTTAAACACTAGAACAGTCATTAAGCCCACATCTGGGTTTAATAATACAGTAGTTTAAGTTCTCAACTTATTATTATCATGAAATGGAGAGTTGTACAGCCAGTCTGGAAAAAAAGAGGAGAGAAGTTTGGGGTTTGTGGATAAGCACCAGAAGTTCACTGTCGGCCTGCAAAAGGATTTCTGAACTCTTGTTCTAGTTGCAACTAGCCTCTAATCAACAAGTAGTTGAGAGCCCTTGCCTCGCACGGCACACATTCATCTCAAGTGGAGTGTTTTGCCTCTCACTTCAGTTAAATAAGAGCAGCAAAGAGACAAGTGCTGTTCTGCACTCGCTCAGGCAAAAGCCTCTTGATGAGAGGGCCGAGCACTCCGCTTTGGTCCTGGACGTGGGGCAAGGCAGGCCCCTTCCTGCAAAGACTTCGCAGGTCACTGTGGTAGACACTCAGGAAGTGCAGCATGAACATCTCTAGCCTGGCATCTCTTGCCACCAAGTTCTTGAGTTCATGACTAAGTTCATGTGTCATAACGGGTGTAAGCATTCTACAGCCAACTGTGGAATTTTTTTTTTTAAAGGAAACATACTGTGTTTCTGTCTATGACAAGAGGATTTTCCTCTTTTCATTAATTCCCCTCTAAAACAAGTCCACTCCACAATACAAAAGTTCAAAACCACAAAATATACCGCCTTTATCAAGCTAACCTTACATAAGCATCTTTGCCAAATTGGAGATCCTTCTATTTCATGAGACCAGACTTAATAAAGCAAGAGAAAGAGCTTCTCATTTTACAGAGCTTTTTGGATTAAGAAAATGGACAGTAATTTATGTAAATACATCAATCTCAAATGACTTCTCTAGTATGAAGGGTAATAAATAATGCAGATCGCTGTGTTTTGGATACGGCAAAGTCTCAGATGGAAATGGCAGGGATGTGTACACGTAGGTGAACATAAATAAATGTGTGTGTGATAAACGTGCTTGCTGGAGATGGACACAGATAGATAGGTATACAATTGGAAAGAGAGCTGGAGACAGAGGGAAAGACACTGGTTCAGCTGCATCTAAGTTCAAAGAGGTTTCACGGTCTAAAAAAACCTGCAACAGCAGAATTTCTATTAAGAAGGTTTAAAAAGCTGGTCTCACCTCCCCTTGGAGGTGCTCCCCTGAAATAATGCTTATCTTTGAATTTAATCAATGTGTCACAAAATACACTATTATATAAAACATTTAGAGACAAAACAAGAGGAAAAAACAGGATCCTCAAGGAAGATGAATGCCTATTGAATATCTTTAAACATCTGAAGCTGTTGAAACGCTATTAGATTGGTACCTAGAACCCCAAAATACCTACTTTCCCCTGGGAAGGAGAGGCTGTGCCTCTTCAATCATCCCTTAAACGTAAAGAGGTTTGACCCCCATGCAATGGATAAAAGTCACCCAAAAAATGAACAAAAGAGGTGTTTGGAAAAACCAGAACACCATTCATCCCAGCTAACGACTTGTTCATTATGAGTGATGATGGATAAAGACTTCTCATGCTGAGATGAAATCAAGATTTATATGCATTGTTTCCTCTCCCAACTTGTGGGAAGATCATCATCATTTAATTCTATCTCTGCGGCCAGTGATGGGCATCCAGAGAGCTGGTTATCAAACGGCGCAGTCAGCTGGCAAAAGCCGAAACGTGCGGTTGGCACATCTGGACGGAGCCGCCACAGCCGAGGGTGAACAATGACTCCTGGCAAGCATCCAAATTGCTTGCAGACGCTAGCAGGTCTCATCTACAACCACCCCTACCAGCATCTCTCTCTCTCTCTCTTTTTTATGAGAATCAGATTTTCATTGCTCCATTCAATTGCTCTCCTCTGCCATTTTTTACAGCTCTTATCGTTCCCCTGGAATATGGCCTTGAGACAGCTCATCCGTGTCCTTCACTGTGTTATCTCTTCGAACTTTTATTAAAACTTCAGCTTTCATCTGAAGATAGCTAATTAAATCTGGAACAGATTATATGCCTCCCCTTAAAAAGAACACAAAACTATTTTCTTCAACCTGACTAATGCTTTTTTTTCCTCTCCAAAAGATGAAACCAAAGGTGTTTAAGAAGTCTCATTTATTTATAAAGCTATGATATCTGACATGTCATATACAGGTTGATATATATTAAAGTTGTCTGTGGTATGACAAACCTTTGAGCTATTTCTCAAAATAATTATTCCTCAATACTGATAATATTTTCCCTCGTATCCTTTAAATATTATCGCTAATACCATAAGCTAATTTTCTGTACAAAGTTGGGTAATGAGGAATTAAAGATTAACAGATATTTGTGCACATCAAGTGACTTATCTTAAAAAAAATCTTTTTGCAGGTGCCCCTCATTTGGCAAAAATGGAAATTGTTGTTTTTATTCCATGCCCCAAGCATGAGCAACTGAAAGTCTCCCCCATGGAAAATTATGTGAAAACATGAAATTAAAAGCAGTACTTCAAATTTAGGATTTGGTTTTCCAGACAGCTTTACACCAACTAATAGTTCAAATGGCTCTGTCTTCATTTATCACAAATTATTAATGATGGAACTTCCATAATCAACATGACCACATTCTTCTCACATATGCCACTGACCCAATCCCTTCCTTGGGCCCAGTGGCAGCTTAAAAAAGCTGTAGACCTGCTAACCAAACCGTCAGGCAATGATATCTAAAACAATCTAGCCAGGCATCAATACACACACACACACACACACACGCACACACGCACACACACACACACACACACACACACACACGTATGCATACACCAAGCACTTCTAACAGTCTATTTCCTGGGTCTCACCTGAAATTTTCTGGGATCCTTTTCTTCGCTTCACTGCCTTAAGCAAGATTTCTTTCATGGTGACCTTTGTGTTGTCCACCTGAATCAGGGAGAATCCATGAGCAGCATTTCTGTAGGAAAAGACAAATATAAAATCATCACCACCATTCAACCAGAGAAATGTTCCTGCAGTCTTCACTGTGTTTAACAAAGTTTTACTAAGTGTACCTCAAAGTGCCAATTATTTAAAAAGAGACTAAACGAACCCACTTCCAATGAGAGACAGGGACAGAGAAGCGTTTTAGTATGAACAGCTCCAAGTGAAAGAAAGGTCAGAGTTAGGGAAGGTTCTCCTAATTTATCTCAAATTCAATCTAATTGGCCTGTGTGGGTCACTAGTGCCGCGGGTTCCTCATGTGGGCTTCCAAGCCAAATCCTGTACAAGGCCTGAAAATAAACTTGGCTTGTGTCAGCAGGTGTCACTGCAGGCAGATCCCACCATCACATCAAAGCTCATGCGGCCCTAGAGGGAAAAAACTTCATGGGGTGAGGAGGGTTGGGAGGTGGAGGGGAAAACAGGGCAGCACAAAGCATTTCGAATAAGGAAAAAAAGGCTCTTCCTCACTGGGTAGTAAGTACATAAATAAATAAATTTTAAACATACAGTTTGGAGGCACCTGGGTGGCTCGGTCGGTTAAGCGTCCGATTTCAGCTCAGGAAAAAAAAATCTCACAGTTTGTGAGTTCAAGCCCCATACTGGGCTCTCTGCTGTCAGTGCAGAGCCTGTTTCAGATCCACTGTCCCTCCCCTCTCTGCCCCTTCCCCTCCTCTCTGTCTCAAAATAAATATTCAGGAAAAAAAAGCATACAGTTTGTGTACACTTTAGTAGGAATGTTTTAATCTACTCGGTCCTAGAAGGTCAAACAAAATATGAAATGAAGCATAACTAATTACACAGCAAAACACTAACACTACTTGCAAACTCCTAGCCAGGCGAACTTGGAGGGAGTGGTTCATCTAGAAAGGAAAAAACTGGTATGGAGTAAGTACCCTAAGAAAAGCAGCCCATCCTTGGGTGAGGTATAACTTCACTAAGACTGTTAATTGCAATAGCAAGTATCACAAATACTACTCACTATGCTCGGGCACCAGAACAAAACAGACCAATTCCAAGAAGCTCATCTAACAAATGGGACCCAAGTTTCCAACTATGGAACATGGGAATTACCACAAGGAGTTTGGTCGCATTCCCATTTCCTCATAAAAATCTCAAAGGAGAACACACAGCCAAAAAACATGGCAGAACTTCATATTGACAAGAAATCTGAAAGAAAAGCCAAGCCCCAAGCTAAGCCATGGAAAAGCTTCCCAATGGTAGGACAGCCTGGGAAGGGGCCTTAAACCTAGCTTAGACCCAACCAGGTGGCTGGCTATCCACAGGGGCTGGGGGCTGATCTCAAAACCAAGGACCCAATTTGCTTCTCTAATACAAAGACATCTCCACACCCCTCCTCTCCATACGGCTTGCTGTTTAATCCTTGACGTTCCATTTGTTAAAAAGCAAAAGCCGACGCTGGTCTAGTCAGCACGATCATCCATTTTAACTTGGTCAAGTTCTTGCTATTGAACAGCAGGCCTGAGAACTGTCAAGCTAATTTTACTGAACACTCTGTTACTGAATCATGCCTGAGCTCCAGCCATTCTTTACCTCAGAAGCTGGACCCCATCCCAGAACAATCTTTAAAAGTTTATTTTACTGATCAAAGCAAAATAAGAAATAGCTCTTTTTTTAAAACTATATTTAGGGAGCGATGCAGTAAGTGATACTTTGGCAAGAGCACTGAAATGTAAAGTGCCTGGTGCATTTATAAACTTGGGGGTATTTGCTCTGGCACTAGGCCAGCGTGGGTTTGGAACAAACGCCAATCATCTGCGTTCAGACTTGTCTTCCCCTGCTCTCTCCTTGGAAGTCAGTATGCGCTCCATCTGTGACAATATGTTGGGCGATGGGTGAGTGGGGCCTAAAAGGGAACACAAGTTCTCGAATACGTGCAAACTAGTACTGGGCTACATCTCATGAACCTCCACTTACCTGGGGTCCACCTGAACTATTTTAGATGGGAGTCTGCTTATAAACTGCTTACATTCTCTCCTAATCTGCTGGCTGGCTGACAGCGTTATTTCAAACCCATACGTTTATCTTTTGTAGCAAAGGCAGATGAGAAGCTCAAAAGAAAGCCTTGCATTTGGACTAACTTCCATAAATTCAAAGTGTCCTTTGAAAAGATTTTTGAACAGAGGAAAATCCCTAGTCTGTATTTTTCTGTCATTTTACCAAAACGTACCTAGGTGACAAGGTTAAAGCAAGCAGAGGAAATCCCTGGCACTTATCATCCACAGGCATTACTGATAAATTGTGTGGTGGAGGAATAAAGGATTACCTTCTGTATTTTTTCATTACACTTTTCTTTTGTTACAGAATACATAAATCCATTGTGGCACAATGTAATATGTATCACCGTGCTACACCTGCGGACGCTTCCGGGCGGCTGCCATGTCTGTGCAGTCAGGAATGATAAGTGAACCACCCGTGAATGTTAACGATAGTGATCATTCTGAGGTAACTCGGCTCTCCATCTTCCTTTACAGCCTCCGTGCTGAAGCCAGGGTAGCAAGGTTCATGAGAGGAAGATGAAAACAACAGTGAAGGGAAGGGGCACGCACAGCGCTCAGAATGTGCCTTCACGAGTGTGCGGTGTCTTACTCTGGGGCTCCATTTTGGTAAAATTGTACACATTGAAAGGAGAAAGAGGTTGTGACCCACGTACTACACACTCAACCAGACCTAATGAAAGCTTCCTCAGGCCAGTCTCCCACACCACTCGCTTCTCTCCCTCCAGACAAACACCAGCTTTGGCTCTTGCTCCAAGTCTACAGCACTTAAGGGGGCAAACTGTTTCTAGAATCCAAGAGGACAGAACATAAGTGGTTCTCAGAAGACATCTAAGTGCAGCTGTTAAGTTATGCTCCCATTTAATAAATGGATATGGAGACTTGCTCCCACAATTTTCAGCTTGGCTTCCAAACGTTCTGGGTTGTATGCCTCATTTCTTTATATCCAGGAATTTTTATGGGCTTTCTAAAAAGTCTATTGAAATACATCTTTGAGAGCCGCTTTTATTTAATATTGGGCATTGGGTCTGTGGCTGAGAAGACAGTGATTTGGAGGGACATGCTGACAGCGGGTAGGTAGGGTGCTAGCCCCGCCTCCCTTCCGTGTGGCCCTGCATTCCAATCCCTGAGGTGTGACCTGTGCTGGGGGTGACTAGCCTTTGCACAGACAGGCGGACGGATAGGCAGATGGGCTACAGACCCAAAGTCTCAGCTCAGAAACTGCTCTTCCTCCTGCTCCCCTCATGGACAGACAGCTTCTTCCCCGTCACAGCAGGACACTCTGGGGACACTGAGCAGAAGCGGCTGCCCTCCAAGCTCCCTGGGCTGCGGGGCTGGTCTAGGATGAAGCGCCACTTTGGGGAGCTGACTAAATGCTGCCAGGAGTGCTTCAGTCAATTCAAAGTTAGGTCCTGTCAAGTCTCGTAACCACTGAAAAACATATGGGCATTTTAAAAAGAGATTACTCACTCGAGAAATTCAGCTCTGTCCTAGTGCAAAGCCACTCAGTTACCAAAGGGAAGTTTTTATACCAGCATTAACCCAACACGACGAGCATTTCTCTCCTAAGTATTAAACCAGAGATGATGGGCACGGAGAGGAAGCAGGGGCACAGGTCCTTATCTGAAAAGCTTAGATTCTACTTACAGGGACAGAGCTGGAACCAGAATCCACGCTGGAAGGCAACACACTGGAGAGGAAAACACGGGCTGGGAGTTAAATACCCTTTGGTTCAAATCCCGGTTCTACGGTTCACCAAGATGTTGACTCAATATGTGGGAACCTGAGCTGCATTCATGAAATGAGGAGGCCACTTCCCTACAGAATTGTCGGGGAGGAGAAAATAGACAATGCACGCCAAGCACCTGGCACTATGGCTGGCAGGCGGCAAAGGAACTTAGAAATGTCAGTTCTCCTGTGTTCTCCTTGTTCCAGATCATCACTCCCAAGAGAAGAAGCCCCATTTACCCCCTGTCTCCTACCCTATCAGCAGAGATTGCTTATTGGGGGAGCAGATCCCAGCCATTGTTTACACTTGGTAATCCAGGGCTATTAAAATGTGCAATCTGATGGGCATGTTGGCAAGAGTCAGGGGCACTGTAGGCAAATAATCTCTGGCCCGGGCAGCAAACCCCCTCTGAGGCTCACAGAAGAGCGCCCTGGGCTCCGATTTTGAGGCTTTCATTTCTGAGAGCATAAAGCAGAGAAGCAGGTATACTGCACCTCAGCTTAACTCGCTGGCTTTGGATGGGGACGGTGGAAGTCAAAAATCATGGTGGCAGTGCAGAAAAATTCAATGAGACTTATTAGTACAAGATACTATTCAACAATTACAATTGTAATAGCAGCAATTACTATCTACTGAATGTTTACCATGTGCCAGGTGCTATGTTAAGCTTTAAAAAAAACCTGTATTAACTCATTCAACCATAAAATAGGTGCTATTATTATATCCATTTTATGGAATCTGAGGCTGGAGGCATTAGGGAATTTACCTGAAGTCACTCATCTATTAAAGATCCTGATTTTGGATTTGGAAATCTCCAATATGGTCCCTAACACAAACAGCACAGTCCGTGGGGAGAGAAAGACAAAGAGACAAAGAATTATAGTTCTTTGTGATAAGCACAAAGAGGTAGGCCAGCTCAGAGTGCTACTGAAACACAGAGGCACTGAACCAAGTTGGGGAAGGGACAGGGGATCAGAGAAGCTTCTTGATGGAGATGTCTCAAAACAGTGATCACTTCCTTCTACATCCTGATAAGAAAGAGGGCTGTGACCGAGAGGCGGCAGAACACAGCAAGTCTACAGTAGAGCCTGCTTTGGAGCTCAGCTCTGCCTTCCTGGGATGAATGATATAACCTCTCTAGCTTCCAGTTTCCTCATCTACAAAATGGGGCTAATTCTTAGAAGTGTAAGATTGTTGTGAGGGCTAAAAACTTCTAAAGTAGTTAACATA